CTCCAATTCTGGTCACTCCATTTGGGTGAATTGCAGAATTTTGATTGCTCTTCAATTTCAATCAATCCACAGCCAATTATTTATTTATTTATTTATTTATTTATTTATTTATTTATTTATTTATTTATTCATTTATTATTAAATCCTCCCATGACTTTGGATGTTCTCAGCCACAGCAGTGCCCTGTCCACTTGGGACCTCCACAAAGTCCTTGATCTCAGGGATATCCCATGGCTGCAGGTTAATTTGAGCTCCTTTTATCCCCTAAGAATTCAGTCTTTCAGCATCAGCAGGTGTCCTCAGATCCTGCATTAAGAGGGGTGAAAAAAGAGCATTTCATTCTCATTTCTGTTTTATTCATCCTATTATATGGATATATTTTATAATATATAAATAAAATCTAAAATAATAATATGTAATTATAGAAAATATAAATTAATATAATAAATAAAAATTAATATAATATAATATAATATAATATAATATAATATAATATAATATAATATAATATAATATAATATAATATAATATAATATATAAAATAACAACATAATTATAATATAAATATGCAAATTAACATAATAAATAACAACAAATCAATACAATAAAAATAAAAATATAAAATAAGTATATAATTATGATATAAACATATACATGAATATAATAAAAATAAATCTATGCAATATAAATAATATAATAAAAATAATAATAAATAAGTATAATATAAAATAGTACAGGCTATTCAATATACAATATGTTCTTATCAAGTCACATTCCCTCTTTCAGCTAAATAATTATGTAATAATTATTTATTATTCAAGACAAATAATCAAGAATAATTTATTTATTTGTCTTGATTCCTCCTCTGAGGGTGGGGATTCTCAGCCCTTTACTCACAATTCTCACTGATTTTACAGCATTTGTTTTTATTCCATCCTTTCCCAATCTCTACTCCAGTGTTTGACTGCCATCACTTGGAGCAGGGATTTTGAAAAAAAGATTTAATGCTGGTCCTTGCTGCCACCATTATTTCAGACAAATCTTTTATCTCAGGATTTTACCTTTCTTTTGTCGTGTTGGATTTTTTTGGGTGGCTCATTACACCCAATAATGTTTCACTGCCATTTTCATCAATACTTTTCTCACCAGGTGTCTCTCCAAATTCCCTGCTGGAATTCCTCACTCTCTGGGGCTGCCTCTTCCTTTTCCCTGAGCTGTTCCTTTGCAGGGAATTGGGCTGAACATCCCAATTTTCCTTCAGAGCACGACACAAGTCACGATTTGTGCAGTGCTTGAGAGCAGTGCCATGAATTCAGAGCAGGAGGAAACCCCTTTCTTTTCATTCCCTTTGATCTGAACATCAATATTTCTGTTGATGACAACATTTTCTGATCTGATTCCATGGCACAGAGCTTTTAGCTCAGCGTGAGTGTGGATAAATCAGCATCCTGCCAGTGTGGGAGCTTAGGGAAGGGCTCTATTCCCAATCCTGGTGTTATATTGGGCAAAACCCCAGCTGGGGGGAAGAAAAAAAATCAGTGTTTTCCCTATGGAACAGCCTTGTAAAATGTGAGGATGAAACCAAGTGGGTGTAACTGATCCCCCACTAAAGCTCACAGGGATTTGTTTAATGGTTAAGATTTTCCTCCTGGGATTTGGGGCCAATTTTCTGGCAGGGCTGGGAGCTTTTCCAGCTGTTTGTTAACATAAATATCCCTCTCATTTCCATGTTCTGCCTCAGAAGTGCTTGGATGTGATCCTGTTTGGGGTTGGTTTGCTTGGTTCCCCATGACAGGAGGGCAGAGCCTCCCCCAGGAGCAGCCCCCACTCTGCCCCGGGGGTTCAGGGGGTCTTTGTGCTCATGTGCAGGGTGAGAGGGCAGCGTGGGAAGGGAATCAGGCAATCTGTCCCACTGGGGATCTGCCACATCCCTCTCGGGGGAAAGGATGGAACCCCAGGGAGAAATCCCCTTTTCCTGCCTGGCACAAATCCCATACGTGCTCTGAGGGAAAGGACAAATGTGCAGCAATTCTGAAAGCAGCTGAAAATAGGAAAAAAGAAAAAAGAGCTGTCCTGAAGCTGTCCCCATTCCCCCTTTGTTATCTCCTTAACTTTGCGTATTTAAATCCACACCAGAAATCCCACAGGAAAAAATGGATCAAACCAGGATCAAGCCTGGCTGTCGTGCTGATGAATGGTTATCACTGATTCCCAGGGGTGCTCTGTGCTTGATTTGGGGGTGAGGTGCTGCTTTGGTGCTCAAAGACTGCAAGACAAGAGGAATTTGGGGTTTTTTTGCTGGGTAAATCTTGTTACTGAGGCATCACCTTGATCCCACGTGGGGCTGCTCCCAAAAATGACGTGGCTGTAGATGTCCAGGAGAAGCAGCTGCCAACACCAAATTACAGCTCTGGGTGTGGAGTAGCTCTGGATTTAACTGGGACTCAACTCATGGGCATGGATTTTTGGGGTAAAACTCCCTTTTTTTCCCTACTTTGGAATCTCTGGGCAGTCATCCCTCACGGGCAGCTTGGAAAAACCAGTCCCAGAGCAGCAGCATCACAGAATCCTGCACAGCATCGTTCCTGGGCAGCTCAGGAGACACCTGAGGCCACCAGGCTGACACAGCAGGCACAGAGCTGCTTCCACCCCCTCAGGCACCCAGGATAATCCATTAAAAACATCCTCAGCACCTGGTTTGCCAGCAGGGCTTTGCTGGAGTTAAACTGAGCTGTGAAACTCCAGCCTAGATTGTGCTCATGAATCTCTGAGATTGTGAGAATTCATGTATTGATCTGAGGGTTAATGTATTGATCTGAGGGTTAATGTATTGATCTGAGGGTTTTTTGTAGGGTTCATCTCCTCTAGAAAGAACAGGTCTCACACACTGGCCATGACATCAAACCACCCTGCAGGTGTCTGTGCCTCCTTTGCTGAGTTTGGGGTCTCACTTTCCCACCTGTGCAGCTGAGAGGACACAAACGTGTCCTCCTGCTCCAGAGCTTCCCAGTGGGAAATGTCCCACAGCAATTCCTCCTAACCAAGGGCTTCTCACCCTTTTAAAAGCAGCAGGAGAGGCTCTGAAAAGCCAGGATAGCCTCTTTGTGCCAGGGCTGGTAAAAATGAGCTTTGCACTCCTGCAGGATGGGGTTGGGATGTGGGATCCTCATCAAACAGCCCTGGAATGTCCCAGTGAGCCCCAGCAGCACAGCCAGCCCTGCAGAAGAGCTGCTGGAAAAGGGACAATGCCCTTTTCTGCCCCACAGATGGGGCAACTGAGAGCTGTTTTAAAAACTTTTATTCCGTTTTCAGTCTCATGAGAAGGGCGAGACAATACAGGTGTTAAAATTCATGCCATCACAATCAGAGGCAAACTGTTTTTAAATTACAGTGCATTATAAGTGTTTCTTGGCCTATCATCTTTCTGCTGTGCCATGCCTTGAAGGCAATAATCTAAAACAACCCCTCGTGGATGCCACTACAGTGCATCCTTCATAGTTCTGTTTCCCCAAAGTATCCAGTCTGATTTGCAAGGCCATCTTCTGAAACTTTTCTGTAGCTCCATTTCTCTCTCAACAATGTCTGTCCTATTCCATGGCATTTCTAAGTCAGCATTTCTTATCTCAAGGTTTGCACACTGTGTGGGCCTTGAGAACTCTCCACAAACCCATTTCCCACCCTCCTCCATCCATCCCAGCTGAAATCCTCCAGGAAACCTCTCCATAGCTCCTTGTTGGACAATGCCCTTTTCCTGGCCCAGAGATGGGGCAGCTGAGAGGTGTTTTGAAATCTTTTATTCCATTTTTAGTTCCACGTGAAGGGTGAGACAATACAGGTGTTATAATTCATGCTATCACAATTAGAAGCTGACTATTTCCTAATTATAATATAATTATAAATTATAATACATTACATAATTATCTAAAAATCAATTTCCCACAACTCCTGTCCTTGCCTGTGGGTTTTCTGTATTTATTTTCTAACTCTGTTGAGGTCAGGATGGAAGGTTCATGTTTGGACTCAGGTGTTTATTATTTCTTATCAGTGAAACAGCTTCACAACCATGAGTTCTTTATGAGCAAGGCACAAAATGGCAAACTATCTCTTGTTATGAGGTCTTCTAAGACCAAACCATCCAATTAAGAAATGACACCTGGATTATTTTCCCTTTTAACCCAATAACTGATCCCTCAAAGCCTGAAGTGTGGATTTTCTGTCCAATTACAAAACACCACCCAAACCCATGAAGAAGAAGGTGAAGAAGAACAACTTGTCTCCTGCTGTAAAACTTCCATCTTGCTTCATATTTATTTCTAAATACTAAAACCCCAAACTCTAAGTTTTCCACCCTGTGATGTCACTCGGTGGATATCTGGAATAACCAACTGCACACCTGTGATCCCAGTGCTGTCAGTCAGTTCTGGAAGCTTCTCCACACCTCAGGTGCAGTGCGGTGTTCTCTGGTGGGTCTGTGCCTTTCAGCACAGAAAGTTTCACATTCTCACAGCACAGAAAGTTCCAAATTCTCACATCCAGGATTTCCACACTTCCCTCTCATCAGCGCTGCCCCCAAGCAGAGCCAACCCCATCCTCACTTGTCTCTGCTCTAAAACTTCTATCTTACTTCATTTTTATTTCTATATTGTAAAGCCCCAAATTTCAAGTTTTCCACCCTCTGATATTACAGGTGGAAATAACCAACTCCACACCTGTAATCCCGATGCTGTCAATCAATTCCCAAACTCTTTAAGTTCTCCACCCTGCGATGTTTCAGGGTGGAAATCTGGAATAACCAACTGCACACCTGTGATCCCAGTGCTGTCAGTCACTTCTGGAAGCTTCTCCACACCTCAGGTGCAGTGCAGTGTTCTCTGGTGGGTCTGTGCCTTTCAGAAAGTTCCAGATTCTCACAGCCAGGCTCCCACACCTCCCTCTCAGCAGCGCTGCCCCCAAGCAGATCCACCCCTCATTAACCCCTTCCTCGCCTGCCCTGTCTGCAGCTTGAAGGCCGTGCTGATGGGGAAGCCCCAGGACAACACCGTGGACTTGTCGGGGATCCCGCTGACCCTGAAGGACCTGGAGAGGGTCACGTCGTACCTGGAGCACAGCTCGGAGCACATCGACACGGTGGAGCTGTGCTTCACCGAGCTGACGGACGAGATGCTGCTGCAGCTGCTGCCCGCCCTCTGCGGGCTGCCCCGCCTCACCACGCTGGCGCTCAACGGCAACCGCCTGACCAAGGCCATCCTCAGGGACCTCACCGAGACCCTCAAGGACCCCAAGAAGTTCCCCAGCGTCACCTGGATCGATCTGGGCAATAATGTGGATATTTTCTCGCTGCCCCAACCCTTCCTGGTGAGCCTGAAGAGGCGCTGCCCCAAGCAGGGCAATTTGCCGACCATCCTGGAGTTTGGGGAGGGTCAGGTCAGTGATTTGGAGGGGCAGGAGGGGCTGGGGGACAGCCAGGAGGAGCTGAGGGCTGGGCCAGGCCAGGCTGGCAGCACGGACTGGGTGCAGATGGACAGAACAGCCCAGGCTGGGGAGCGCCCTGGCCCAGAGCAGGGGGCAGCCACAGCACAGACATGATGGCCACCAGCCCTTGGGTGGGCACCTTGAGCAAGGATGGCTTCAAACCTCAGAGCTGGGGGGTTCTGTTCCCACTCCTGGGTGCTCCAGGAGTCCCAGTGCTGCCTTCCCCCTGTGCCACGAACGTCAGTGACTTCCTGCTGGGAGAACACATCAAAGTGATCAGTGGAGTGTTTGTATTTCCTAACAGCTGGCCAGGTGTTCTGAAGCATTAGTGGTGTGCTGTGCTTTTGGCTCTCTCAGAAATGAATCTCCAAGGGGCTGCAGAACCTCAGAAGGGCAAGAAAAGGGAGCAGGGAGGTGCCCAGGCTGTGCAGGGAAAGGCTCCCTTCCCTCAGTGCTGCATCTCAGCTGCTCCCCACGTGGGATGGACAGACAGCAGCCACCCCAGAGGGACCTGCCTGGGAAAAACCTGCAATCCTTCCCACTCCTGACTTCAGGAATCACTGGTGAGAGCCTGGCTCCTGAGACACAACAAAAACCTGCTCAGACACAAAGCAGGGCTCAAAAACCTGCTCCCACACCAACCTGGGGTGCTCCTCTCAGTACTGTGAGCCCAGCCCAGAGGGAGAGCTCTGTTTTCCTGGGGCAGGGTTAAATCCCAGCCTGCAGCGTGCCTGGACACCACCCTCACCTCCAAGCCTTACCAAAACCAGGCTGGCACCTGTGCCTGCCCAGGATTTACCCAGTAAAACCCAGTTTCCCACCAGCTCTAAAAATTCCTGAGCTTTTAATGGGAGGGACACACAAATCTGGGGTCAGGGCTCAGGAGCATCACTGACACCACGGTACTGAAGGGTTAAAAAAGGTAAAACAAGCCTGGGGTTCCTCCCCTGTCACTGCCACACAGCCAGCTGGGATTCAGAGCCCCAGAAAGCCCTGGGGTCCCTTGGCCATGGCTGCTGCCCCCTGGACCAGAAGTGCTTTGTTCCTAAAAGGTTCCAGTTTTTTCTAAGCCAGGGCTTTGGGTTTATTTTCAGTGGGAAATGGATCAGCCCAGAGCAGCAGGGCTGGAATGGGCACTTTGGCTTTTTGGAACCAGAATTTCAGTGGATCCCAGAGCTGGGGGAGGGCAGGAAAGTGGGGAAGATTCCTCTCTGTGTTCCAGGAGCAGAGCTGGCTCCCTTGGCAGGGGGAGCCTCTGTGCCCCAAGCCCTTCCCTGAGCAGCTCCCAGCAGAGATTCCAGTTTGGTTTTTTTGGGTGCAAACAGATTTTTGGTCCCATTGGCTCTGTCCATTTTTCCAGAGGGGCTTCAGGCTGCCAGTGGTTGTTTGTCCTCCATTTGCAAGAAGGTAACTTGGAAAAAACTCTGCTACTTTTAATACATTTGGCAACAGTCAGTATGATTTGCATGTATCCAAGCCTTTTTTTCCTTTTTTTTTTTTTTTTTAAATTCTAACTCTTTCCAACAGGCATGAAAAAACCCACAACTTTCCAGTGAATATGGAATATTTCTGTTTGAAATAAAGGAGCTATCCATAAACAAAATAAATGATAATGTTTAATAAAGGCCCAGCGTTCAATTTTGCCTCTGTCCAGGGTGAATGCCCAGGCAAAAGCAGAGGACAGGCAGTGCTGAGAGCTGCTCTGGCTTCTTCAGGGGGCTGAGAAATAAAGAGCTCAGTTTATGGGCTGGATTTATCAGGGTGGGCATAAGCTGGACACAGAAGCATCATAAAAGAATATTTTAAATTTTAAATATTGCCAAAATAAAATAATGCAGGAGAAGGGAAGGCTGAGAGTGTGGTGGTGCTCCAGAGGGTGTTTATGTCCTGAAGGCAGAAATGCTCTTTATTGCAGCAGGGGCTCTGTCCCAGCAACAAACCGTGAGGCCAAGGAGCTGGGGGAACACAGGGGGATTTAATCAAGAATAAGATTTCTCCTTGCAGAAAAAAAGAAAAAGAAACTGCAGCAATTTCTTCTTTCTACGCAGGTACCTCAGTACTGGGCTCTGCTCCTCAGGCACAGCTCAAGCCCCTCTGCCTGTTTAAACGATTTAAATCACAAACTCCTTGCTGCAAGGTTTTTATTCCCTGCTAAGTGTTTGCACAGGGCCTGAGGGGCTGCCTGGACCCCCCAGTTCACAAATTCCCAAACCAGAGGCACTTTGCATTTAGAGTGAGCTCTGCATCCTTCATTCCTGCTTTGCTCCATTCCCTCACGGACAAAAACCAGCCAGGAGCTGCTGCTGCTGCCACATCTCCAGCTCAGCCTCCACTGCTGGGAAGCCCATCAGCCGTGGGGAAACAATTCCAGTATCTCCAAAGGGAGATCCCTGTGCAGCCTGGGCCCTGTGCAGGTGCTGCAGTGCCTGAGCACTCTGTTCCACTGGCACTGACAATATCCCCGTGCCCAGTGAGGACTGAGCCCTCCTGAGACACAGAAAGAGCTGGAAAGGGATTTTTGTCAATAGATCCGTGCATGCTGGAGGATGCACCAAATTACTGCCATGGAAAAAGAGGGAAAAAAGCAGAGCTGTTGTGGAGAGTTGGTTCTAAAAGCTTTGGCTCATCAGTGCCTCCCTCACAGTGTGGATTAGCTCAATTATCCACTTAGTGCACTTCAGGATAATGATGATCCTGTGGGCTCAGCACTGAGTGGGTTTGGTTGGGTTTTTTTTTAAAGAAAGCAGAGTGAGAAGCTTCCCTTCCCAGCTCATCAACATCAAAACAAGCTCAGGGCTCACTCCACATATAATCAATGTTCCCGGGGCTGCTCTGGGCTGCTGCTTTGGGTCAGAAGCTTTTAGCTGGCCCTACATGAAGGATTCAAGGATTCAAGGGCTGAAAATGGTTGCTGTTAGAATATTAAAACACAATGAGGTCATTTCTTGTCCAGGAGAGGAGGAAAGGGCCACCATAAAATAAATAAAGCATAAAAAGCCTCAGCCTGGCTTGGTTGGTTCTCTCCCCACAGCATCACAGCCCTGCCTGGGCATCAAACAAACCAGTCTGGGGAGATTTATGGGCTCAGCAACAAAAATGTAATTGGAAATCATTCTGTGCAGATTGAGGAGCCCACAGGCAGTGAGGGGAATGGGAACAGCAGGCAGGGAATGAGAGAGGGGTGGGAGAGCCATGGAAGGGCTGGTGCCACGTTCCAGAGAGCTCCTGCACCAAGGCTGTGTTCTGAAGGTGGTTACTCATTTAAATTGAGGGTTCCTTTGCCAGGGGATGGCTGGGAGCAGCAAAGAGGGCTGGGAAAGGTCACCCCCGAGCAGGGAGTGTGTGGGAGAGCAGAGGGAGACACAAAAAAGCTGCTGGGGGTGTCCAGAAACACAAAATAACTTAGGCCAACAGCACTGCTGCTGCTCAGGGGCAGAAGTCAGCAAATGGCAACCCAAAACTGCCCAAACACCAACCTTTGCCAGAGGAGAGCCAAAAAGTGACCTAAAGGATCAAGGGGACACCAGGGGAGGCAGCAGTGCCCCTGGCAGAGCCACCACTCTGGGTTATCCCACTAAATAATAGTGGGATAACTATTATTAGTTATCTCTGGAGAGGGGCAGGACCCTCCAGGGCTCCCCTGTGCTCCAGCCCTGTCACAGCACAGCAGCTCTGTGAGCTCACACTCAGCACTCAGGGCCTGGAAACACAGAGGCTCCATCAGCTGGGATCTGCCATTGCCAGGGAAACAAACTGACCTCATTAGCAGAATTCACATCTCAAAGCTGAGGGAAAAGGGGTAAAAACAACTGACCCAACCTCTGAGGAAAAGTTCCTTGGTGAGCAACAGATGGAATCTCCTCCCACCTCTCTGGTACAGGGGTGTCAGCCTCGATCCCACTTTTCCTGCACTCCAGGGACAGTGGGGTTTTTCTGTGCCTGGGATGATTTCCACCAGCAGCTGTAAGAGCAGAGGAGCTTTCCAGCGCTATGAAATGTCTTTAACAGGAAATTCTGAAGGACAGAGCCACCCCTCCCAGGGCTCTGAGTGCCTCCAGCCAGGCTCCAGCCTCACTTCCTACAGAGGGCCCAGCTCCAGGCACATTAACATTAATATTAATTAATTATCATGAATAAATGAAGGGATATCCCCAGGCTGGACAGGACTTGGAACAACCTGGATTATTGTCCCTGCCCACAGCAGAATGCTGGAGTGAACTGGGCTTTAATTCCCCAACCCAAACCATTCTGGGACCTGTTTGTATAAAATGTTAGCACAGGGTTTGTTCTCAGGGAGGAGCACCAGAGCTTTGCTCACTGCAGGAAAGGTGTTTAGGAATAAAGTGTCATTTCTGTGCCAGCTCCACCAGCCCATGCTCAGTTACCCCTGAAGGATGGGGAACTGGAGGTGCTTTGTTTGCAGTCCCTTCTGGCAGTTCTGGCCATGCATTTTTTATCCCACTTTTTTATCCCCCTGTATTTATCCCCCCTCTGTAAATACCCAGAGACACAGCTGGTTTTACCTTCAGCTCAGCTGATTGTTTTACATAAAACTGAAGAGCTGATTTAATAGAGTCAGTAAAGATGCAACCTGTTCACACAGCCTTTAATTATGTGTGCAGTTTGCTGAGTTTTCTTGGCTCCTAACAGCTTATTGATCCTGTGGCTTCTGGGCCATCCTTTTTCTTTGCTTTTTATTAACTCAGTCTGAGGAGAAAATAAACCTGTGGGCTGGTTTGCATCCAGCAGGTTGGGGTGAGCAATCCCAGCCTGCAGTGAGTGCACGTGGCAGCTCTCAGGGAGCTGTAATTGGAAGGACAAATAGACTGGAGGTTTACAAAAGAGGAGAGAAATATTAATATTTAATTCCCTGCAGGTTTGGTGTGGGCATTTATCACTGGATTTTCGAGGTGTGTGATGTAAAACCACTTCATTCCTGGCTCTCCCTGCCAGCTCTGTCCTTCTCCAGGGTTCCTCTGGCTCTGGGAAAGGCTTTGGGGAGGAGCTTTGTGATCAGCATTTTGCAAGCAGCACTCACAACCATCCTAAACACAATCTACATAAATAAAACCTCAAAGCATCTTCCTACAGACCCAAATTTATGGAACAGACATGCAGAGAGTCAGGGATGGATGGAAAATTATGGGATATTGGGCAGTAACAGATGTGGAACCCAGGAATGAGCTTCCCTTGGGCAGCTGCTCCCTGCCTGGTCACTCACTCAGGTGAGCGCTGCAGTTCCAGCTCCTCTAGAAATGAAAACCAAAGCACTGAAAAATCAAATCAATCCCACTCTGGGAGCTGCTGCCCCAAGGCTCGGACCCTGATCCCACTGCTGGGAGTTCTGCATGTAGAGAAACAGCAGAAAATCCCAGAGGTGGAAAAGCCTCAAACACAGAACAGGCTCTGCTTGGGGCTCTGTGCATTTCCACACCACTTCCCAAGAGCACAACTTCACCATTCCTTTTTTATTGTTGTTTCATCTTCACTGCACCCACCTGCTTGTTAAAGGATCAATTCCAAGGCTCAGCATTCTCCCAGGCTCTGCTTTCCTGCAGGCTCAGAGCTCCCCTCCACCACAGGCACAGAAACAGCAGGGCTGGGGGCTGAAATGCAAATATTGTCCTTTTTTCTGTGCCAGCCCCAGAATGGGCTGAACTGCCAGGGCAGGGGCAGCCACCAGCCCAGAGCTGCCCCCTCACCCTGGTGCCACATCAGTTCTTCATTTTGGCTGGTGATTTTTCAGCCCTGAAACCCTTCTTTAGTCTCAGCTCCAGCCTCTGACCTGTTGCCAGGTGACACCACGTTGTTGCTGTCATCTCCAAAGACCTTTCTGAAGCATAAAAGCAGCACCTTTGAAACCCCTGCCCTTGATGCAGCTCCTGTTTTGCATTTCCAAACAGCCTGGCCCTGACACTGAAGCTTTATTTCACCTCCTCAAGCACAGAGCATCTTCCCCCAAAGCCCAGCAGCAAACAGGCTGCTGGGGAGGTGCCTGGAATGATTAAATAAATTAAACTCAGAGTGCAGCTACCTTGGTGCAGGGGCTGCCCATCACTGTGCATTTCAAAGCTCCCAGCTCTGAAACAATTCCCATCATCTCCCCAGCAGGAATCCCCTGGATTTCACTCAGCACAAGGAGTTTATTATTTACTGCCATGGATGAAAGGAATGAAATACCTGATTTGACACAGCTCAGGAAAATTGCTTCATCCACTGAGTGACCAAAGGCTCTGCCTGCTGCCAGCAGGGCTCCAGCCCCAGTTCTTATCTGTGCTGAGGTGATGGGGAGCACTGCAGGCTGCTGCAGGATTGTCAGGCACAGATGTGAAACATTTCTACTGGATATTTCAGCTGCTGCTGCATTAAACAGCTCACAGATCACCTCAGCCTAGCACTGCACTTGCTGTCTGATAAGGGCTGATAACCAAATTATCATTGGTGCCACTATTATCTTGACCCAGGTGTTTATTAATGAAGTTTCAGCTATCCAGGAAGATTTGTTATTTTTTATTATGGCTGATAACCTCAGGCTTAGCTGGAAGTTGGTGTTTAATGTGCTGTCAAACCTCAAGCCTATTCCACTGTTCAGTGATAACAGCACTCAACAAACCTTTAGGTGCAGTTTGCAAATGCACAAAATACACAAAAAAACCCCAAGAAAATCAAACCTAGAGTGACTATCTGACAGATCTGGGAAAGCACAATCAAATATCTGGGAAATAAATCAAAATGATAAAGAAAACCAAGGAGAGCCCAGCAGAAAGCCATAGGCAGCTTCAGAAACATCAATCATCATTTGTTTAGAGCAGGGCTGTGCAATTTTACCACAAACCATTACAAATAAAAAAAACTGTTATGGAAAAAAAATCCAGGTGTTGACTTGCAAAAACGAACAGGAGCCTAACAAACAAAAATCTTAATTATTGGAGATTAAACTTTTAACATCTCTATTTGATTAAAACAGCAGGGATTTGAAATCAGCCTGCACTGAGTGATTTCCTCACTTGCATTTTGTTCAGGTTTCAGCTGCACACAGGTGCTGGGCTGGGGGTGTTTATTGACTCAAAATCCACCTGGAGCAGGCACAGCCTGGCAGCTCCTGAGCTGCAGGGGAGGGGAGGGGAAGGAAGGGCAAATCTTGCTTTATTTTTATCAAATAAAAATAAGTTTTAACTCCTCTGGCTCCTCCTCACACTCTGGGGTGGAACCATGAACTTCAAGTTTGCACAGCATCAAACCTCATCAAACGAGCCTTTGCTGGTCCAACACTGAGACACATTAATTAACGGCTAATTAAAGAGTGACATTATCACTGTGTGTGGGATTCTCTACACAGTAATGGAAATTGCAAATCTTATTAGAAACAGGGAAGGAACCAGCAGTAAAACTGAGTTTCCTCAAAGAATCTTCAAGGCTGCAAAAATCTTTTATTTCAAATGCTCTGAGCTTGGTCAGTGCCCCACCTTGTGGGCTGGAGTGTCAGGAGGTGGAGCAGGACAGATGTGACTGAATTAGAGCACAGAAGCAGAAAATGCTCAGAGTTCTCTAAATAAGCTCTAAAATAAGTAAGTTCTCTAAATAAGCTCTCCTGGCACGCCCTGAATCAAACCCCACCTGTTCAGCCCTCCCCATGTTCAGCAGGTTTGGGATCAGCTCGTAACAGCTGGGCTGAAACTGAATTCAAGTGTAAATTAAGGCACTAAATGACATGAGGTGACAAAGAAGGGGAATGTTTGTCCTGGCAGACATTAAATGATGCATTAACCTTGTCCTTCCTCACAGGAACACTGAAATGTGCTCCAGCTCTGGCAGCACAAGGTCAGGGGTGCTCAGGAACACCCTGAGCCTGACAAAGGCCAAAGTCCCCCTGGTTATTTTGAGGTTTTGCTCTGAGCAGCTCAGGAGTTGCTGCCTGTGGTGTCTCAGCAATTGTGACAAAGCTTTTGACATCCTTTAGCTGCGAGAAAACAAACCTGGGACTCTTTTCTGGCACGACACCAACAGCAGCTCCTCTGTGCCTCACATCTCTGAGAGGGAGTTGGAAAATTCACAGCTCCTCCTGCTCTGAGGGGAAAAGCAGTGAAGTGTCAATATTGAATATTTAGGATTTCTTGCACTCTGCAAAGCTCAGACACACAGGATATCCCTTCCTCCCTCCTGGTTAAGGAGCTGCAGCTCAGCTGGAACAGCAAGCCAAGAGAGAGCTGCTCTTTACATTGCATTAATGGCTGGCATGTATTAATTACAGTAATTTATGGCTTTGCATCAGTGATGGTTCTCATGCTGCTGCAGACAGGATTGCTTTACAATACTAATCAAGAAATGAGGATGATAACCAGCATTTATGTGAAATGTGAAGCTTGTGATTTACAAGCTGTGGATCCTCTCCTCCTCCTCAATTCCAGCCCCCCAGCCCAGATTTTGGGGATAATCTCCATGTTCTCTCTCAAACACTGATTTGAGATACAGCATTGCCATCTCTCTTATTGCTAAAAGCTGGCACTCAGCCATTCTTTGCTTTGTTGCATATTTTTTCTTTCTGCTTTAATCTTTTCATCTATTTTAGATTTATCCAGGGTTGTTGGCTGCTGTTGAGTGCCAAAGGGATTCCTGCCAACTGTTCTTTTGAAACCTTTAGAAAATCCAAAATAATTGTGTTTTAAAACCAGATTTTTGTCTGCTGTTTATTCCCCAACACTAAGTTTTAAGTGCTCCAAATGTAATCAAAACAGAATGGTTTTATTTCCCTTCCCCTCAAGCACCATGAAATTATCTGTGCTCCCCTGGAAAATCACAGTAAAACACTGAGGACATTTGTTATGTTTGAAAGGCACCATTTTCTAACAGAAATAACATTTTCCATTGATTAATCTCAGCAAAACCCCAGCCTGCTAAAGGATCCCTGCTGAGGAACTTTGGTTTTGATTAGAACAATAAACAAGTGGTGCTAAAATGAAACTCATGAATATTTATCTCTAGCAGATACCACCAACTGCACCCTCAATAAACCCAGGTAAATTCAATATTCAAGTTTTCCCAGATCAACTTTGCTCTGTTTTAATGAGAGAATCTCAACATTAGAAAGCAAGAACTTTCAAACAAGTTGCAGCAAACCTTCCTTGAGCAAATTAAACAGCTCATTAAACAATTTGCTGATTATTTCTGTTTGCTGAGGGCATGTGGCTGCTTTTACCTCCATGGTCTGCAGATTCACATTTAAAGGAGGTGGATCTTTGTGGTTTTTGAGAGCTTTAAACCCATTTTTATTCCCACTGCATGAGATAAGAAATATAAACATGTTCTAATACACAAGCTCTTAAAATCAGGGAAAAATAAGTTTGGTTCTTAAAACACTGGGAACAGAATGTAATTTTAAATTTTAATAGAGCAGAGGAGTAACCTGTTCGTCATAGTGCTCAAATCCTTTCAGATGAAGAGCAACTAATTAATTCCAAATGTTTTACCTACTCCACTGCCCAGGCTGAATGTTTTTATTAAGCCCTGGATGTACTACAGTAACAATTCTAGGGGAAAAAAAAATCCAGATTAATTTACCTTCATGTTGTAGAACCAGATTTCTCTGAAAAACACTGAGCCTGTTTTTCTGAACACAAAAAGAAACTCCTGAAATTCTGCATTTCATGCAATTTACACCTCACCCCTGCTTTTGGAGGGACAGGGACACTGCCCTGATGCCACACGAGCAGCACCAGCTCACAGCACCTTCCAGCCAGAAAATCAGAATGAAAATCAATTCAGATCTTCACCTGAACTGCACAGGGAAGGCAAAACAACCCCAAACTCTCCCACCTGGAGCTGTGCAGTGATCACTGTGATACCCCCTCAGCAGTGACCACAGGCTCGTGAGGAATTAGTTTAATTATTCATTAATTTGGAAAAAAAGCACACCCTAAACCCTCACTGCTGACACCAGGTGGGCAGAAGGCTCAGCACCATCACTCTGGATGTTTGGAGCACTGAAGTGTTGAACCTGCCAGTTCTACTGATATAATTAAGCTAATTGGGAGTTTTGGCCTCAAACACTGGCTTTTTTAACTCTTTTAAGCATCTCCAAGTTGCCAAGATTCCCCCTAACCCTTGAACTTTGCCTCTGCAGCAGACTTTAAATTTAATTTTTGAGATCAAAATGACAAACAGCAAGCCTGCAAACAAGCTACAGATGCAGCTGCATTTTGCTGCTCTGGCTGTCAGAGCACTGAAGGGCTGCTCTGTGCAGTAATTAATTACACTCTTGGTGTCTTGTTTAAACTCTAATTACCACCCTAAACCCCATTGGCATCATCTGCAGTGAAAATTTTGCAATCTTGGTACATCTTCTTCACCTTACAGCACATTATAGGAGTGCCCACTTTCCCTAATGCAGTGAAGTGACCAAACAGTGTTATTTCATTTTTAAAATTATTTTAATGCACACGTAATAAAACATTTTAACTGTTACCACTCTGTAACAGGCAGAAAAATGTTCTGTCTGCACAAACTCCTCAAGGCCAGGTGCTGTGTTGGAGTCCTTCTGCCTCAGAGATGTTTGCAGCAGCACCACCTGGAACACAGGAGCAGGGTCAGGTAACCAGCCTCAATTATCATTAATGCATTTGTTAATGAGTCAGATATCATCAGAAAACCTTTTGCTCACCACCAGTCAATCTGCCGGTAATTCCAGCAAGTTTGGGTTAGTTTCATCATGTGATATCAGAGGGAAATGACACTTTGTGGCAGGAACAGAGCTTTATCTGTGTCTGCAGTGCACAAACAGCTGCTCTCACACATTTACTGCATTTTTTGCCAAGAGCTTCATTAATTATACATTTAGAAACAGAAACTCTGCTCTAAACGTATAATTAAGTCTCTTTTTGAGGCTGCAGCCAAAAGCCACCACACTCAGCTAAGAGCACAATGAATATTAAACTCACCCAGCAGATTCTCCTGCTCTGTCCCAGTGCCCTCCACAGGACTTGGGAAGAGCTGTCCCATCAATGGGGGGACATCACCAGCACAGCCCTGCAGGCTCTACCTAAACACATCAGAAAATAAAGATTAGGCTTGAAATTCTAAGGAACACAGACTCAGCTCCTTAGATCCTATCAACTTCATTCTAAATTGACATTTCACCTGGTATAGAACTCTATATAATGCACTGAAACTCCTCACTCACCTTCACATCAGAGCCACCTCTCCCCAGCTGCTCCTGCTGTGTCACAGGCCCAGCTCTGCAGAGAAGTGGGACAGAAGGACAAGGTGAGACGTTTCCAGGGCCAGCAAAGCTGCCTGCTGGCTCTGGAGGGTGAATGTGGAGGTTTGAGCTCCTGTGTGCAGCTGCATTTCAGACCAGAACCAGGGTATCGTCAGTTCTCGCATCTGACGGCACTTCCTATTCAGGGTTATCATCATCAACAGCCGTTCATTAACTCCTCTAATTAATCACTCAAAACACCAGCTTGTATCTTAAACAGTTGTACAATCTCCCCCTTGTGTTATGAAGCATTAACTCTTGTATGTACACAGAATCAGTTTTATTGAGTTTTAATTTAAGATGTATTTTTTTACAGATTAATTTTGACTAAAGGAACCCCTTTTAACAACTTCGTACACCCTAATGTAGAAAGAAAAAATTTAACTTACTCTTTACTTCACGACATCTTTCTGCTGTGGGAGTAAAAGCAAGAGAAGTGTTACTAGAATACTTTTTAAGAGTACAAAGTAGGTTTGTGCAGGGAAAAACAAGAACAAAACCAGACCCTCAAAACCAACTCTACTTGTGTTTCCACCCGTGTTGATGTTAATACAAATTACTGAAATATTTATATCAAACAAGTATTAGTACTCAAACAGGTCTCTAAATAATGCTTAATGAGGAAATTTAGATAACTTAAGTAAATTTAAAGTAATTTAAGAGTGCAGCTTACAAGGTTGCATTTACCAATAGGGCAATTTTCAAACTGAAATCGCAAACACCCCAATGCTGTGGGTGTAATTTTAAATTACACAGAAAGGGCCTAGCACATCGAAAAATAAAACAAAGGACCCAACTGCTATTTTTATGGCTGTAGCGCCACGAAAATCCATGGACAGCGCCATGCCGAGCACTCCCCACAGCAGCGATTCCTGCACTGCCCTCACGGAGCCCCGGGCAGGCCGTGCCAGCAGCGCTCCCCACACACAGCCCCGGCTCGGCCGAGCCCCGAGCCCTTCTTGACTTACCGGGGAGAGGTTTCCGCGGTCCCGGCGGCGTCCCGGCGCCGCTGCAGCCTCCATGGTGGCCTGAGGGACAAGGACCATAAGGACGATAAGGACCATGAGGGGCATGAGGCGCCACGCGCCGCGAGGCCGCGCCCCCCCCTCGCCCTTCCAATGGTGCGGCCCGGCCCGCGCGGCCCAGGCAGGCCCGGCGGCCGCTACCACTGCCGAGCTGGGGGAGCGAGCGCTTCAGCTCCCTCAGCTGTACGAGCGCTTCGTTCGGCAAGCCTGGCCTGCACCTCCCCACTGCCCGCCCTGCAGGCCCCGAGCCCAGCCCGGAGCTCAGCCCGGCCTGCTCTCACCTCAGCAGCTCCAAGGGCATGGGACGAAAGGGCGCGAATCCTTTCGGCGGCCGCTTATAAAGCCTTGGGCCGTACCACCCCGAGCGGGGGCGGGCTGTGCCACTGCTCCACAGGCGGGGGGGGGGCCGAGGCTCCCATTTCCTCCCGTGTGGGCCATGAGGGAACGGGGCGGTCAGAGCCGCGTGGTTCGTTCAAACCCCGACCCCAAAACCCCAAAAAACCCCCAAAAAACCTAAACCAGGGGTTTAGGCACCTCCTCAGGGCACGGACAGGTGACAGGACATGTGCTCCCGGCCGGGCACAGCCCCAGGGAGCATCACCCTGCCCTGGGTTCTGCCTTTTCCAGGAACGCTGGAGATCTCGAAGCGATTTCAGGCCACTTTTATTTAGAACAGAACAGCTGGTTTTAAATAAACGTTCCATTCTTTTCTCATTGTGTCATCTTGAACTGAAAATAGGGGTGTTTTGGTGTCCTTTTCCCTCTGTTAAGTGCATCAGCCATCGTTTTAAAAACAAACATAAAGCCAGCTTTGCTTTAAAATTTCACCCTCAACACCACGTGTTCAGCCTGGAACTATTTATCAAAAATCCAAATTTTCCAAACAGCGGAAAATTCCCTACAAGAAGGACTAGTGTGGTGCTATAACAAATCAACTAAAATTCAGATCCTGCAGCAAAAGCCAAAGCCAACATTCTCCATTTTCAACATAAACACATTTTAGTGAAATACACAGGTCCCATCCCCTATCAAACATCAATTTCTGCATCAAATTCTTGTAGGTGATGATAGCTGGGAGGTGAGTGAAAAATCACATTAGCTAAGGATTGAACAACTGAACACAAAGAGAAAGGAACAAAATTCTCTTTGGAACCTCTTGATCAAATGGATGTACGTTAAAACGTTGAGGAAAAAGCACCGAGTTAAAATTCAGAGTTCATTTTTAATTACCAAATCCCTGGCTCAGGTAACTAAGGAAGCCCAAAGCTGGAAGGAATTCCTGATATCAGCACTTTCCAAGGCTACTCTGTGCATGATAAAAAAGCAAAACCAGGCACACTCAATTACAAAACCCTCTCTAAACAATAAAGTTCATATTTTCTTGCAGCTAAGCTCCTGTGGGCTCAGCACCACACCAAAACCCCCCCAAAACCATAAAACCAGTCCTGACCAGCATGGGGGAATTTTTAAGGCATATTTCTGACAACCTGGAAGGCAGACGCAGAGTTAAGGGTCACAGGCCTGTGCTTGATTCACAAATCTTTAAAATCAGCTAGAGATCCTCTATTCCCATCAATTTATCCTTCACCAGGTTTAAATTAGGAATATTGACATGGAAACACCACACAAGGGCTCCCAATAATCCAGCTTTGGTGCATGAGGTGTTGATTCCTTTCAGGAAAAAGAAAAGTCCCAATGGATTCAAAGCAGTGACACAACACAAAGGTTTGCTGGCAAAAAGACACCAGTGAAATAAATTTTATCAGGATCTGGAGAGATGGGATTGATTCTCTGGGAAAGCTTGGGGAGAGGGTATCAGTGAAAGCACACGTTTAAAATGAGTTATTACAGTGATCAGACATTGCAGGCGTTTCTCTCAACAGCACTTTTATGAGACATTTATATATTCAATAATTAAATATAAAATCAAGGATGAGTGTCACAAAACAAGGAAAGAGTAAGGCTTGAAGCCTGGTCAGCCCCCACATTGCCCCTGCAGTCACTGTGCCTGTCATTTGACCTTTCATTTGACATGCTGCTATCCTCACACATCATAAAGCACAAGAAAAGTTCATTTTGCAGATTCCTTGCTGAAATCTCCAACCTACTTCAACTTAGTACAAAAAGAGGAGGGGCAAAAAAATAAAAAGTGAAAAAGTTGCTTGTTAAAAAGCAGAAATGGGAAGAAAAGTTCACAGATATTTTGGACTGACAGAATCAAGGAACAGGGACAATGCAAACACATTTCAGACTATTAAAATGGTTTTGCTACCTGTTGTTTACCTGAATGTGATGTGCTGCATTATTCCTCACTCAGAATTACTGGCAATATGAAAATAAAAATAAAAAACAGCAGCTGCACACTGATCAAACCCTTGTCCTACCCAGGGAGGGGTGAAAATGTGCAGGTAAAAAAGCTGAATGGAACAAGTCACCCATGTCCACATCCACGTGTAATATACAGGAAGAACATCCAAAATATTGACAGGAGACAGTGATCCTAAAGTTTTCCTTTTCTCTTTCACTTCTACATAGATAGAACAGCACAGAGGAGAACACCACTAGAGCTTTCACTGTGGCCAATGGGAAGATTCTCACAAATATAAAAATGCTTTCCAGCTGTTGGATGGATTGCTCCAGGACATAATCCAGGTGGAATGACAGGAATATAATCTCTCCTCGTGGAACAACAGCAAAAAAAAAAAAACAAAACAAAACAAAACACCCCCAAACCCTCAGGGGTTTACACAATTGTCAAAGGTCCAACTTTGCAGTCCTGAACATCTCAATCCCTGCTACAGCAGAATGTGGCATCACCAAAATGAGTGAGCAGGATTCCTTGGATTCTGGTGGTGCCACTGGGATACCTACAGGGGATTTAACTGTGATAAAATGTGTAACTTGGATTTACATTCAGTGTGATAATCAATCCCTTCATGCTTTATCCTTGCTGGCTGCCCACCCAGGAAGCTTTATTGTTATTACTTCAGGAGGAAAGGAAAGGTGCTGGAAAGAGCCAGAAGGGCAAGGCAATGATCAGGATCATGAAATAAATGCCCTGTTCTTTGGATGAGGTGTGTAAAACATTTTGTTAAAAGCCTCCATGATGAAAACATCAAGAACAGAAAAGTTCTCCTTAAAAACACAAAGCATTTCTGCCTCATCTTTTAAGTTCAAAGCTTGGGGAAGAAAATGTTTTGCTACAATTCACTACAGGTTTGCTGTCACAACCAGAGATGACAATGCCCTGCAGAGCACAGGGCCAGCCACAGACTCCAGACAAATGTCTTTGCTTTAGGTCTCAAGTGGTTTATGCCTCTCTCGTTGTAGAAAAGGATCAAAAACACTTCTGGAACCTTCACTGCAGAGCCTTTGCCAGTGTCCAGCTCCTGGGCAAGGGGGATCCTGCCAGGCTGCAGAGACAGCACCTGCAGGGTCAGGCTGTGAACCCAGTCATGATTCAGAGTCTGAGCCAGAGCTGCTTTCCCGGCTGATCTCGATTTGTAGGGAGGGTAAATGATCCAAGCGACTCTTTTTTTGCCTGGACTGTTCTTTTTCCTTGATGAGAGCACCCCAAACCCTCTGCAGCTCAGAGTCATCCTCCTCTGGAGATGCCACAGAGTTTTCAGCTTTCTCTGGAGTCTTTTCCTGCGTCTTGGGAGCAGACCCCAATCTGGTCCATAAATTACCTAAGCAGATGAAAAACAAACATTTTATAAAAACCAAAACAGACAGGACTGAGAGGAAAAAGTCAAGGAGCCAATTAAACTCACAAACCCTTCAAACTCTTCAACCCTTCCTACTCCTCCCACCTCAATATTTGGCATGGAACTGATTATGCTTTAAGAGTAATTGAAATTAAGCTGCAGGAGGCTCAGGGCAGCCTTGTTTAATTCACACCTCCAGTGCCCCTGCATTCCTGACACTTATTTGGGTGCCCACAGTTTGAAAGCAGATCTTTAGCCCACCTCCATAAAAATCCTGCTCCCAAACCCCCCAGCTCCTCCCTACACGTATTTAGATTTCATAGCTCTGAACAAACATTTACTGATTTATCCTGAATTTCATTCAACTTCACCCCTTCATGGCTTTCTGCTGGGATTTCCCTTGGACTCCAAAACCAAAGGAAGTGCAGCAGAACATTTTCTGCACACAACTAACCTGATTTCTTCTCTCTGGTGTCAGAGTAGAGGCCTTTCACATCTTGTTTGGGGATTCCCAGCCTGCTGTGCACATCTGAGATTGGTTCTCGACGAGGAGCACAGGCACTGCTTGGAGCTTTGATTTCTGGAGAGTGTGGCCTTTTTCCCAGTCTCTGCCTCACATCTGGGGATATTTTCAGTGATTAAAATGACAAAAAAAAAAATCCTGTGGCATTTATTCTACTCTACAGCTCAGTTTATGCTCATTCATTATTGAAACCAGACAGATTCTCTGGTTTTATCTTTTCTTTAGCCTGTTCATTTAAGTCTTTCATACTGAGATTTCCTGGAAATTTCTGCAGTACAATTTAGCCAGATTTCATTTCAGTTTTGGCAATAAATTTGGCATTTCATGTTTTCAAGCTGTGCTCTGTCCAAAAGATAAAAACCTAAATTATCCCATAGCCTGCTGCTTTCCTGGTGTAGCAGCAGAGGGTGTCAATATCCAGCAGGAGGGAAAATTCCATGGAAACTGGTCTGCCTTCAACAATTCTTTTCAAGTAACAGATACCTTGATTTAAAATTCTACCACTGCTTGGTATGTGGCAGAATAAAATAAAAAGAATACTAAAGATGTTGATACTTAACCTTTGATGTGAATTTTGTATTTTGAAGTTTGCCTGGCTTAGCTGGATGTTCCCAATCTTACAGGGGTCCAGACAAAAATATGAAGGGAATTTTGGGACCATGTGTCAACTTGTCAGAGGTCCAAAATGGGCAGGAAGGGTAAAATATACAAACATTATTTTGACTTTTCATTGATACATAAAGGTATTTTTCACTTATCAGTCAGATAATATTACGTAAGTCAGAAGCAGCTGAAATTATATACATTTATGTCAAATAAATAAGTTATTTAACTTATTTAAGATCAGAAATAAATCTGTCAAATGCAAAGCTACCCATATTCATGTAATACACATTTTTAATGTGTACTTATGTGTATTTTTAAGTGTAGTCAGTGTTTCACATTTGATTTTGGGCAGGACCTTCCCTGTGTGCTGTTTCTCAGCTGCAGAGAATCTCTGCCTCAAGGAGGGAACAAAGTGGGGGGAGATTGGCACAGGCAAAGAAAATGGATGGAAATCAACATCACTAAAAAAGCTTTCACTAAAGTGTACTTGATTCTTTCCCCAAAGCAATTCCCACCTCAATCTCTGAGTGAGGACAAACTGTGTGAATGCAG